AAAATTGCATAGTCACACAAGAGCACTTTTCCTTGTTCTCCTTGGAGAGTACACATAATCAAAACATTCTTAAATGTACCCTCAAGGCCAGGTGGTACAGGCCCTAAGTCAAGGGTACATGTGTCCAGTGAATCCAAGAGCATCTGAATGTTTGACAGGGAGAAAGAGTATTTGCCATCTAAGTGGTCCTGGAAAATAGTCTCTGTAAGTACTTTCTTTACCTCTCAGTAGGGATGGGGTGAAGGAGGAGGAATCTTATTTGGTGCATTGTCACGGTTCTGAGTTCTTGTCATGTCTTTATGGGGATTGTTTGAAGTCTGAGTCAGCTTGGAGGATGCATGTTGTCACCATTCTTAAGTTGGCTGAGGGAACATGGCAGAGTCCAGCCTGGACTATGTTACAGGAATTTGAGATTTTTCCTTATGCTTATTGTCAAGAGAATCCTCGAAGTATAAGCACCCTTCCTGAGCACAACCATGGATCACTCTGAATCTGGAGGGACTAAGGGAGTTCTACCTATGCCAGAGAAACCACCCTTTGGTGGGGCCCGACCTGGGCCAGGGAGGGGATGACAGGTAGAACAGTGCCTGCCATGTGACCTGTGGGTGTGTGAACAGAAAAGAGCGCGATCACACGGAGAACCCGTTGTGGGACATCAATCAGAACCGAACCTGAGCTCAAAGAAGTTGAAGCGACCCTAAATGGCAGATGGGCACCAGAAAGGAGTTTAGATGCCTCCACCTCTAGATGATGCCTCTAGATGCCGTTTTCAGACCGGGGCAAACTAGCATAAAGAAATCTCTGGACCCAAGACGAGGTGATTAGAAAACAGGCAGCCTCAGCGGTGGCTTTGCTTGGCCCCTGAAGTCATTTCAACCCTGACACGTGACCCAGCACTGCCCTCTGGTGGCGATCTCCATCAAGAGCAGCTTGATTTAAAAGGGGGCTGGGAGCCCCATTGTAGGACTTCTTAGCGGTTGCTCTCAACAGTTGGGGTTTGGGATTCCTTTTATTAATCCATGTGAACCCAATTCTCATGTGATCCGAGAATTATGAGTAGAAAAATCAGAGTATTTCATGCCTCTGTCTGGCTCCAGCAGTTGTATGAGATAATTCGGTTAGCCTTTGGAAACTGCCATTACTGTAGACAATGTCTTCCTAGGTTCTTTATTGTGCCATACCATTAACCCTCTAGGGTAGTGACTACAGTTATTCACCTGTTACAGATGAGGAAACTGAGGCTCAGAAAGGAAGTCTTACAGCAAGTATGACATTCAGCGCTTGGTGCCACCGACCTGTTCATGGCACAACACTGAGAATGAGAAGGGAATGGACAGGGCAGGGCACTTATGTCTCATGGTTCACAAATATAGTTCTATAATGAACATATAGTATACATATAT